TCATGTAATTTAGGAACAAGTTGATCGTCAGTCCTTGATAATTTTATGCGGCCTAGAGTGACCAGAACTCATTTATGAAAAAAAGAGTAAAAAGATTTGTGGCTCGGTTAAAAAAGATCAGATTAAAAATCAGATGAAGGAGATAATTAAATTTCTTAAATCTAACTTGTGTACAACAATACAATTAAAAATAATAATAATAAGCTTTGCAATGTGACACATTAATGAAGATCAAAACTTCTCCAAATAGCAAGTGATAATAGTGTAACCAAGACCCGGTCTGGAGGACTGAGCATACGGTGTCTAGTAAAAAATAATTTCGAACATATCTTACTCAAGGCTGAAAGGAAAGTAACTTATGTTGAGCCTGGGAGAAGGAGAAGGGCAATGCTGGTAATGTTATTCCATGATTATAAATAAATAATGACCGAAGTAACTTTATGCTGGTATTCAAGTGGGAGGATAGAAAAATATGCTGCTCACTGTTGTGAAAGGTGTAGAACAGAAAATTTTGGGGCAAAGGTCGCAGTTGCAGAATTTATAATTAAGTTTCCATGAGAGGGTCTCCAGACACAATCACTCCGTAGCCGGCAGGCCAAAAGAGAAGTCGTATCTAAGGCGAGTAATAACAGAGGGGCATTCTCATAGTGTGCATGAAACAGAACAGGGGTATAAAGAGGCCCTATTTAAAAAAGTATATGAGTAAAAATAGACTTTTTTATATGATCATTAAAAAAACTGTTATTTGGGCATCCAGCTCTTTCCTAGTAAGTGGAACTAGCTAAATACTTAAAAGCTAACGTTTCAGTAATAAAGAAAGGTGCTTGGCTGGCTAGTGAGAGACTCTTCAATGGCCCAGTTGCTCAGGCCCATGATGGAAGCCAAATTCAGAATTTTACTCTTTCAAGGCGTGAGGTTATAAACTGTGGAAAACGAACTAAAATCAAGATGGGCCTCGAATTACAAACCAATTGAACTACATACTAGAGAGAAATAGCTACAACTATGAAAGCTAATTAATAATCGACTAAGCAAATATTTTTCGTATTTGAGCAGAGTTTCGAGACTACCAATAAATCAGTAATATGAGATGTATTTATCCTATTTGCTTTAAGGTGATGAAGGACTGGTAGTAGAGAATAACTTTTGGGAAAGTAAGGCAATGTGAAATTCAATGGAAACGTCAGCTCTACTCATATCATTGTGAGAAAATTCTACTACCAGTCATTCATCACCTTAAACGAAATTGGGTAGATATTTCCCTTAAAATGATGTATTCACACAAATCTATTGTGTATAAGTAATAAATCTAGGCAACTAATAAAGATATTCAAAACAAGCCTCTTTCAAATCAGACCTAGACATGTGTAACAGTGTCACTGTGACAGAATATAGGTGCTTGCTTCCTCAACAGTAGCAGTATAAAGGTGTGTACTAAGGGAATCTGAGGGAGTATATATTCTAGATCGAAGTAGACTGAATTCTCAAATCCTGATCGTCAGATTGGGCATTCCAAGAGAACTACAACTCTGTTGTAAAATCTTATTTAAGCTAAACAACAGCTGAGCTGTATCTCAACTCTGAGAGAGATGGAAGTAAAAAGAATAATTCTGCCCAGGAGCCTCGTGGCTGTTTTTCTACACCTAGGCTGGTCTGATCGCACAGTGCATTGGGAATCGTTATGAATTGCATAAGGACCCTAATGAACTTTCTAATGTGTAGGCCTTTCCTACAAAACACCTGAGTGCAGGCTGGCGTCCAAGTAGCGTTTGCGCACAGACTCGTCTGCAGTCTCAGAGGCATAATAACCATATTTGGTGCCATAGTCTGGAGGGTTAACAGCTGACCGGAAAACGTCACACCAGATGGAATGACCTGCGTTCCCAGTTGACAGAATGACTTACATGCTAGGCTATGACTGTCGAGGCCGGTATTGTATCTCGGCTTAACTGGTTTCCCTAATTCGTGATGACTGCAACTGTGCCCAACGGTTGGGTCGTGCCTACTGTCCTGTTGCATTATTCGCATGTTTGAAGGCCGACCATGTGCTCTTGCTCGATCACCCCTTCACCGAAGTCTAACAAAACTGATGTCAAGACTTACGAGGTATCTAACCCAGGCAACTAATTTATTAAGTTTTTTTCAATCACTTGCCACAAGGGTGGAAATCATAAAATAAGGTCATGAACGGAAGGCTACTACGTCGAATGCAATGCCTCATTTTCCGCACGCACACTCGA